GGTCTGGATATATTTATAGAATGACGCCTGTTGGGAGACGAAACTTTTAAAAGTTACAAGCAAGTCCAATATTTTCAGACTGATAACGGTCTGTATATAGTTCGAGAATGACGCCCGTTGGGAGACGGAACTTTCAAAAGTTACATGCAAGTCCACAATATTCGGACCGAAAACGGTCTGGATATATTTATAGAATGACGCCTGTTAGGAGACGGAACTTTCAAAAGTTACATGCAAGTCCACAATATTCGGACCAAAAACGGTCTGGATATATTTATAGAATGACGCCTGTTGGGAGACGAAACTTTCAAAAGTTACATGCAAGTCCACAATATTCGGACCGAACACGGTCTGGATATATTTATAGAATGACGCCTGTTGGGAGACGAAACTTTTAAAAGTTACAAGCAAGTCCAATATGTTCGGACCGAAAACGGTTTGGATATAGTTTGAGAATGACGCCTGTTGGTAGACAGAACTTTTAAAAGTTACAGGCAAGTCCAATACGTTCGGACCGAAAACGGTCTGGATATATTCGAAAGTTTTAAAAGTTGCAGCTGGGTCCTCAATATTCGGACCGATCCCGGTCCGTATATATTTGTGATGCCTCTTTCCACCACAGTTACAGACCGTTGTCGGTTCGTATATTCCCTATTATTTTATTATATTAATTTTTTGGGACCAATTTCGGTCCGCTTATTTCAATTTCTCAATAATTATTTATATTTCTTACTGAAATATCCGGACCGAGTTCAATCCGGATAGTATATATATACGAACTGATTATACGTCGGTCTGTATATTATACTTATTCGTACCAGGTTTTTTCAGATCAACTATAAGGACCAATATCGGTTCGTATATATATGTTCAGACCGATTGGTAATATATCCGGACCGATTGTTTGGTCTAAATATACCATTCCTACAGTAGTGAATTGTATTACTTGCAACCTTTCAAAATGGTTATTTTTAGTAGCATCAAAGTACATGAGTCTTCACATAGAATAATGACTATTTCAAGTCGAAAGATCATTTACACTCATGTCACAGTTGAGAAGTTGCTAATGATGTACAAATGTAAAGTTCTTATGGTGGGTTAGTTCAATGCACCCATTACTTTGAGTTACCTGCATGTGATATGACTTCAGGAAAAAAAGTCTTACAACTTAGCAAAGTATCATACATAATGGTCTTTATATCTTGATGCCCCATCTTTATGATATATGCAACTATTAGATAATTTAAGAATGTTGCTATCGCATCATACAATTCTCACTGATAATAGGGGCTGTTACTACTTGTGTTTTTATCTATTATTATATATCGCTTTTTTTTACCCCAATTTTTTTCCATTTCCCCATGTTTGTATTAAAAATGTTTTATGTCAAGTGTAGTTTTTTAGCATTATGCTCTTGGTATTTTTTTCAATTGTCTCTACTCAACCTTTCATTAATTAATTTTTCTTGAAATTCCATCTTTTTACCTTATGCGCTCAAATTTTATCATTATAATTATCTCTTCACTCTTCATTCCTTTCATTATAATTGCCAATATTTTCTCTCTTTTCCCCTCCTAATTATTCTTTCTTAATCACTCCTTTGCATTCGCATTGATCCTTATATATCTCTTTGTTATTGAATGTGAGGGCAATCTCCCATCTAATACAATCTTAACTTCAAAATTAAAAACTTCTTTCCAAAAATATGCTATTAATAATACTTTGTTATGAACTTATTTATAAAACCAACAAAATCTTGATCAATTTGGTATTTACTAATTTAAAAACTTTAATTTAGGATTAAGATTAGAGGTTAAAAACCTTTATGCTGCTAAGCCGTTAACCTTTTGGTGTATTAAAAAAATGAACCTATTTGTAAATATTTAAAAAGTTTGGGATTAAAATTTCATTCTATTAAAATTTTAAGACTAAACTGGGAAAAAGAAAACCAAAGCAAAACATTAAACAAACACGGAAAGCACCTATCTTCTACGTCTGTGTCGTATGATTACAGCTTACAACGCCACATATTAGTGCCGGTATTTTTGTGATTTTCATCTCAAAGAAAAGGCAAATACTCTGCCCATGAAATATAGATTAATAAATAATGGTTTAACCTTAAAGCAAACAATTTTTCCAAATCTCCAAAACTTTATTCAAAAAATAATTAACATTGAAACACTTCAATAAGATTAATGGTTGTTACATATATACCAACATTTGTCTCAGTGGCACAATTTGCCTAAGAATATCATTTCGAAACCATGGTTTAAAAGGTAATGTGAAATAACTCTAATACCATATATAACAACTTAGCCTATTAATGATGTTGTCCAATTTGACCAATAGAGTCTTACAATTTTAAAACATGTTAATAGAGATTAACGAATATTGATTTATATACCCAACATTCCTCGTGTTCTTTATTGATATAAGAATTGCCTAGTAATGTAAAGTTAACACTTCTAAACCAAAGGAACTCTCCCATGTGATCCAATGGATAGGCCATGCTACTCCAAGAGTAATAGGTGGAGTTCACCCGGTTTCAACTCCTAATGCTGACCTAAAAACAGATACTAACTCCCAACAAATATTCCCCTTGTCAAAAAAAAAAAAAAACCACTTCTGAACCAAAGAGTTGGGAATCTGAGTTTGATGTAAAACTGTCCTTGCTTTTATTAGGAGTGTCCACAGCTAAGAAAGTTTTTCATTTGGTTTTGTTACAATGAAATCACCGTTGCTCAACATGATTACTGGTCCTTGGCTACTAGAGCTAATGATGTTTTTTGGTATTTCATTAGGTACTAGGAAAATGTTATATAGGAAACAGAACCAGTAAATTTATTCTATTTTCTAAGTGAATCCCAAACTACTCCAAGATCAACATTACCTCCTGAGAGTATGATTCCTATTTGGTTGTGATCCTTCCAAGCATGATTGTTCCTGAAACTATCAGATAAGACAGCAGCAAGGCCTATGCATCCACTAGGTTCAACTGCAACCTTAAGAACTTCGTAGCAGAGTCTCATCGCTTCTATTATTTCCATATCATCCACGGTTATTATGTCATCCACAAAGTCTCGTACGATAGGCCTGATCAATTATAAGATAAAGTGTGAGCAATGCAAGCTAGATTAACTAAAAATTAGGAAAAAGATAGGAAAGGAATTATAGTATAAGTATGACAGAACATAATTCGCAAAACAGGCTAGACTGGGTTATATATTATCAGTCTATAATTGATAATTTGGAAATGCCTTTACCAGGTAAGTTCACCTAGGAAAGCTCTGAGCCCATCAGCTATCGTGTTTGTTTCAGGCAGCGTTACAATTCTGCCAGCAGCCTTGGATTGAGCCGCATCATTAGCTCCCTTGGGTTCAGCAGCAAAAACTCGAATAGATGGGTTGATAGACTTGGCAGCTAATGCCACCCCTGATATCAAGCCACCTCCTACAAAATTTTCATACATCAATTTTAGTTTGACTGATTAGCTTCCAAAAGAAAATAATCAACTGACATGAAAACGTTGTCAACAAACCACTTATGGGAACTATTATGGCATCCAATTGAGGTGCTTGCTCGAAGAGCTCCAAGGCCATGGTACCCTGCCCACTGAAAAAATAATTCTGCCATTAATGCATGTATTTGTCAAAGTTCTGGAGACATTGAAATTAAAACTCAATTAAACTATGCCTTAACATCAAGAAATTTTGATCAGATATATGCAACCTTCTCCATGCTTCCCCAGTTGGAGGCCGTAGTGGGAGGCATTTCATTCAAATTAAAAAAATTCAGCCATCGTATGGTCACTGCTGCAATAATCTTATAAAAGTTTTACTATCATTTTGTTACCTAACCACTAGGGAGACATTGAAACATACCACTTTCAATGAACGAGTGGCTTGTTACCGTTGACTTAGGCTCCTTTTCTTTTAGCGGTTAGGGAAACACTATCAAACTCTTGGTGTTTGATTGGGAGAATGAGAGTGTTTAGATTATAAACAAACAAGACCTCAGACATTGGATATTGGCTATCAGCTGTATTTGAACAGCTAATCTAAACAAGACTTTAATTTTTTCCTTACCTATGGTTTTAATACTAAAAACTTCCTAAAAAATACAACAGCTGCTGAGTTATGATGCATTTGGAATTGCTTTCATTGTGCTTTTCTGCACACCCATGTATTCCTAAAATGTTACTATTAAATTAATTTTAAATGTTTTGTATTCTTTAATAATTATATAGATACACAACACTTTTGAAAAATAATTATCAGTCATTGCCAACACAAATAGCCACAGATAATAAACTGTATCCCCAAACTTGTTACAAAACTCTAATATATGCATGTGTGGGACATAAAAGATTGTCCACCCCACAAGCTGGAAAGGAGAGAGAGGGTGAGAAATGGAACACATAATATAGATTTTTTTAGCCAAATGAAACAGATAATACACATGGTAACACAAGCCATGTGATTTGTTTCCAAAGGAAATCTAAGTGGACTGTCCAAGGATACATGTGAAAATTTAATCATTTACATGCTTTGCATCAAATTACGCAAATGTACTATACTATCATATTTTTTTATACATACAAATCTACCAAAATCTTCACATCTCAAAACTCTGTAAAGTTTCAAATGGACAGAAATACAGAGTACCTTATAATTCGTTCATCATTGTATGGATGCACTAGAATGGCACCAGTTTCCTTCAACACTTTGGTTGCAGTAATCTCCCTTGACTGCATTGTTGCCTCACTCCATATAACCTGACCACCGTAACGAATGACATTCTCAACTTTGCATTTTGGAGCATTTTTTGGTACAACTATGTATGCTGGGATCCCACGTAATTTTGCAGCTAAGGATAATGCTGCAGCATGGTTACCACTAATTTTGGAAGATAATATCAGAGTTGCTGCAAGAAAGAAAAATATAAGCAAAAGAAAATTAAGTTTCAGGGTTAATATAAAGGAAACCTGCTGTGTGTTACAACCCCTTTAGCTGCCTGATCATCACCAAGTGAAAAAACAGCATTGCAGGCACCTCTGAATTTGAATGCTCCACTGTAAAGCAATATATAGAGAAGCCAGAATTTCAGTAGACAAAACCCATTGTTCATGATATTAGTAAGAACTTAAGGACAAAGCGTAAAACAGGCAATGTAATTACCATTCACCACTAACTAGTTTCTTACCCTTTTTGGAAACATTCACACTTGAAGAATAACCTCCTACCAGAAATAGCATTCAAAGACTCTGAGGTAAGAACTGGAGTTCTATGAATGAATGAATTGATGCGTACTTGTGCTTCTCTGATGGAGGAAAGATCAGCTGCATACTTCTCCCTGCTTAATTCCATCTTTATTTCACCAAAGAAAATACTTGAATTGTAATTGGCTGGAACATATCAAGCAAACAACATCAAATATTTCACGAGTTGACTTGTTAATCATATACACTCAGACATGTAATATTATATTTTTCCTGCATTTAGAATTTAAAGACTGTCCACATTTTGGGTCAACATTCTTGACTTTTTGACGAAGAACCAGAAGCAACAATTGAAGATTTATTTAGATTATCTAAGATTCTTAAGTAATTATTTTTATGCAAGTGTAGTTATCTTTAGTTTTCCTACTTTTATTAGGATTAGGTCTTTTATCAAGAGTCTAAGTCCTAGTTGAGTTAAAAATTTTAAATTTTAAGTTATGGTCTAATTAGAATAGGAGTAGGAGTCTTAGTAGTTTCTATATTAATATGCATGTAGTTTCTTTCATTATTAAGTAATAGAATATTCAGAAATTTGCAGCAAGAGCTTTCTCTTGAGATTGTGTGATGCAATCTGAGTTGTGTGATGCAACTAACCTTAGGTGTGATGTTTAAGGGTTTTGTCCTCTTTATGCGTGATACCTAAAGAAACCTAGATGTGACTCCTAGGATTTTCTTTCTTGTTATTTTTTTGGTTTTGTTATTTTTCTGCCCTAAACAGCCTCTAAATCCCCAAGCCCACCATACCCCTAACCTGTCCTGCATTAGTTGGTATCAGAGCAAAAGATCCATCAATTCAGTTGTTGGAATTTTTCTTCTGCTATGTTGTCAAATGCTAAATTGAATTCTAAAGTTGCAACCTTTGAAGATATGGTCAAGCAATTATCTAAACAAATAGCTTTGTTGTAAGTTAACTTGGAAGTTAAGTTGGAAGCTACGATTGCTTCCAACATAGAAGAAACATTGACCATGAAACTGCAAATTGCCCAAGGCAAGGCTAAAACAGATGAAAACTGAACTCTATAGCCTCATCAATTTAGTGGATTCCAAGATAGAGGTGATGGTAGCCAGGCATGTAACCATGGTTGATAATAAGAACCTCAAAAAAAACACTTCAACATAGGCAATACATATAGCCAGCTCCAACCCTTGAACTTGCAACAACATCAGCCAGGAATGGGAGAGCACAAAGAGAGACACAAGACACAGCTGGCAACATTACAAAGAAAATAAAGATTGAAGTTCTTGATTTTGAAGGGAGGGTTGATCCTATGGTGTCTAGTGATTGGATCAATTCAATCAAGGAATATTTCAACTAGTATGACATGGGAGATCTTCAAAGAGTTAGGTTTGCCAAGATTAGCCAAAATATGGTGGCAGGGCATTAAGCGTGACTTAGCCCAATTAGGACAACCACCCATTGCTAGTTGGCTAGAGAAGAAGGCAAAACTGAGAGAATAGCACTTGCCACAAAATTATCTAGAAAAAAATCGTGATAAGGTTTGCACCTTGAAGCTGAGAAACATGACAGTGGCTGAATACCTGCAAAGTTTTGATGCGCTAAGGATTCACAGTCAAGTAGTGGAAGATGCCTTACAAGCTGCATCTCAGTTTAGAGCTGGCCTAAGAGCTGATATTAAAAACAAATTACTCAGGCAGCCTATTTATAGTGTTGAAGATGTATTCCAAGCAGCAATTAATGCAGAAGAATATATAAACAACCAGAATAGTAAGAAAGCTGGGCTCCAAACAAGGGAGGCAAAACAAAAAAGGTAATGAAAGTGTAACTTGCTTCAAGTGTGGGGAAGATGGACATATGGCCTATCAATGTCAAAGAAGAAACAATCTGCATATGGGAAAAACACATGATGATAAACAGCAAGTTGAAGATGCTAAAGAAAATTCCTATGATTTTGGAGTATACATGGCTGATGATCTTGATAATCTTGAAGATGATGAAGATAATTCCATTTATCTTTTGTTAGGTGTGTTTTAACAGTCCCTAAGGAGAAGGAAAAAGATTGGAGACGAAATTCACTATTCCAAACCTTGGTCCATTGTGGAGCTAAAAGGCTCATTAATGACAATGGAAGTTGCATGAATGTTATATTAGAATCCATAGTGGAATGCCTCCAACTTCCCACAAAATTACATCCTCAACCATACCAAGTGGCTTGGTTAAATGATGCAACAATACTAGTAACTCAACAATGCCTTGTTTCTTTTAGCTATGGTGTCTATGGTGACTCAATACCATGTGATGTTATTCCTACGAAAGTCACACACATTCTTCTTGGTCGACCTTGGCACTATAACAAAAATGTGAGTCATAATAGAAGAGAAAACATCTATTCATCTTCTGCTGGAAACAAAACCATTGTGCTGCAGCCATGAGCTCACTTAAGATTAAGAACTATGAAGAAAAGAGTTCATCACAACCTATATGCACTGTTGAAGGTAAAAGGAAATCTCTCAATATCTTAGACAAGAGGAGCTAGAGTTGCTACCATTGAAGTACCTTGCAAGTACAGGATTGCTACTTCAAATTCAAAACCTGAGGTCAAGTTTTCTCCACCGAGGGGCACATGATGAGGAACCCGAAGCAACAATTTAAAAGTTATTTAGATTATCTAAGATTCATAAGTAATTACTTTTATTCAAGTGTAGTTATCTTTAGTTTTCTTGCTTTTATTAGGATTAGGTCTTTTATCAAGCGTTTAAGTCCTAGTTGAATTAGAAATTTTTTCTCTTGAGATTGTGTGATGCAATCTTAGTTGTGTGATGCTTCTAACCTTAGATGTGATGCTTAAGCGTTTTGTCCCCTTTAGGTGTGATACCTAAAGAAATCTAGGTGTGACTCATAGGATTTTCAATCTTTCTTGTTATTTTTTTGGTTTTGTTCTTTTTTTTCTGCCCTAAACAGCCTTTAAATCCCCAAGCACACCATACCCCTAACCTATCCCACATCACTTTTAGTGATACTTTTTCCTCTTGTCCAGGATATGTGATTCAAAAACATGTTCCTGGTAAACAATATGAAAGTAATTATCTCTCCGAAAAAGGAATGAACATCATTAGTTATTGTGAATGGTTAATTTTAGTGTACTGTATGTAAAAATTGCAACAACCACAAAACTCACATAAGCCAATATACAGTGTACATTTCATCAAGAATCAGAAAAGTAAAAGCTTTCCATTTAAGAGAAAATTCCTATGTCTATGATACCAGGTCAAGATTAATAATGTAAAATAGAAATCAAATCTGCCAAATAATCAAAACCCACCACCAGAATCATGAAGTTCAAGCAAAAAAAGAACAGATGTGTCACAGCTTATGTCAGTCAATATAAACTTCAAATGGATCTAAAATTTCAAGGCTTTCCCACGTGAAATTTGAACAGATAGCCCAAACAATTCTATAACCTTAAACAAGAGAACGTTAAGAGAAGAATGAAACTAGAAGAACTCAAAATATATACATTTCTAAAAAAATTATCTTTTCGGTTTTCAGTTCTCTTGCACCAGAGATGGAATACAGAGAAGAATGAAAGGAAAGAAAAATATCATGTCATAGTGTGTGTGTTCTCCGCAAGAAATCTAGAGTTTCAACCCATCAAAACGTGAGAGAAAAAAAAATTCAAGGCCTTAACAGCAGTAACTAGTAATCACCTAATTCCTCAGAATGGTAGTCATTAACTGTGTCACCTACTACACCGTTGGACATGTCAGATTGATCAGTTCAAGGCAGAAGAATGAAAAAGGGAACTCCATGAACGCAGATGTGGCTTCCTAATAAGTTTGACTAGCCTGACAGAGCATATAACATGAGATTCTTTTATGTTCCACAACAACTTGCAGAAAGGGAAACTTAAAATTCAAGATCTGAAGCTGATTGAACTAGCACCGATAATCATATGTGACCTTTTGAAACAAAGGACTGTTTGATATGATGAAGTTTTTTCACTAAGGTTTAGTAATAAGGGGGAAGTCGTTAAGAAAGTAAGGTTGAAAATGTTACAAAGTTTATAACTTCCCTAACAATAAAGTTTTGTCGAGATTATTAACTTTCCGCAAGAGCAAAGGCCAAGTCAAACAGTAACTCTCTCATTTACCTTCACAAAAAAGCTTGAAATAAACATCCTCGTATCCCAGAAAAAATTCCAAGGCTAGAGAGATACATAATAACCATTATCCTCAGAATTAATCACGGGTCTTGGACGAAGAGATTTTCCCGCCCCTCCATCTCCCTCAAATCAAATCGGCGATGCCAAAGGTTTATTAGTCACATCTCAGAAAATAGCCCGAATACAGAAGAAGTTATTGAAGAAACTAATTTCCTTAGAAACAAACAGAATAACGGAGGGCTGAAAAGTGTGCAGTACCTGATACTGACGAGGGATTGCAGCGTCCTCGACGGCGAAAGAATCGTTAGCGTCTCCGTCGAGCCAGGGCACTCTGAACTAGCAGGCCGTTGAGCACGAGAGCAAAATAGAACAATGGAATGGGCTCCTGCCCCTCAGAGGCTGATACGGATCCGTAGTATTGCGGTCATGCTAAGGAGCAAATTGTTCGGGCAGACAACTGTTTTTTTTTTTTTCTTTTCTTTTCAACCTATTCTAATTATTTATAAGTTAATTGAGGGATTAAAAAAAGTCTATTGGGATCGAACATGTAATCTATAAAAAAATAAACAGTCTTAAGGTCCAATATCACTTATTCAGAGCGGATTGCTCGGACATATAACTATTTAAATACGGTAAAAACGAAAAATCAACGCACAGATATTAAAAATGTACAGATATTAAAAATATTAAAATATTTAATTATAATTATTAAATATATTAAATTTAATTTTGTTAAATTTATTATTTAATTATTATTAAATTTTTTATACTTTTAATGTTAAGACGATTAGATTTTCTTTTTCTCTCTTTA